ACCGGAGTACTCAATGTATGTTCAAACATGGATATGACCCTAGACACTAGGTGCGTGTACCGTTTTAAAAGTACCTTGGTTACTCTAGGTCTATCGAAACAGGTTTGCTGTGCAGAAAGGGGCTTAGAATTTAGTGATTCGAGGTCTAAGCTTTACAGGAGCTTCTTTCAAGCCAAAGATTCTGCTACATAGGTATGTAGGTTGTGAGTTAAGGGCGTAGGATTTAGGGGTATAGGGATCATAAGGTTAAGGGGTTTAGGGTTTAGGCAATGAACAGACTTTACGAAACTCTATCAAGTAGCCATGGTACCTGGATTCTTCGGGCTAGTGCTACAAGTCTGTATTGGCATGTACTGACTCAGCCTGTGCCCACGGGGTCTAGGGGTTTCGTGTTCTGTGCACATGTGAGATTCTGAGATAATGCAGGCACCTTTATGGTAACAGTTATAAATACGAGCCAGCAGTAGGAAGACCAGGGTGTTGGCCTGGCTGTACACGATAATTAGATTATGAGGCCACCCTAAACGAATCGTCAAGCACCCATATTATTCATGATGATGATGCCCTCCTAGCGAAGTGCGGCTGGTCCCTGCCCTAAACCTCTGAGGCCTAACGTAGCCGTTGCAGGTACATTCAAGCCTGGAACAGGAGATTGACAGTTCATTCTGTAGCAAGCATCTAGGCTCCTTCCATGGGCCTTCTTCGAGGATCCCGGGACTTAGTGGGCAGTCTGCCTCCGCGGATTGCAACTTGAAGTACCTGCTTAGAAGGCCAAGTAGAGCCTTGACCAATAGCAAATAACGACAAGATCGGACTGACTGGCACTGCCAGTTGATTAAGTTTCCATTTACACACGCCCATCATGACGCAGCATCACGGAAAATAGACGTCTGGAGTCGGAAGAATCGCCCATGCAGTTCATGACGAGGAGTCTTCAAGCCCGACGCAAAGACATCAACCATCACCCCAGGAAACGCCCTAAACCTGCTCTAGTCCAAAGCCCTAATTGCAGAACCCTTGACACCATAAACCCTGAATCCTCAACCGGAAATCCCAAAAGCAACACCTGAACCACCTAAGCCCCTGTGCAAACCCCAACACCAAGTAATACACCCCTAAAGCTCTGAATCCCGAAACACTCCTTGTCGGGTCGTTCTGAATCGAACGCTCTTACAGACCCTCCGACCCTAAACCCTAAACCCTAAAACCCTAAAACCCTAAACCCTAAACCGCTAAACCCTAAACCCAAAGGTCCTAAACCCTAAACCCCTAAACCAGGGACCCCCCGGAGCACCTCACGAGTCGGATCATGAGACAGCTTGGCCGTCATGCTCAGGCGTTTCAGTGGGGTAGAAGTTGAGGGACTGAAGGGGGTTTAGGGTTTAGGGTTTAAGCTGGAGGGTTCAGGGTTTAAGGCGTAGGGTTTAGGGTTTAGGGTCGAGGGGTTTAGGGTTCTTTAGAGGCTTAGGAACTGCGGGGTTCAGGGATCTTAGGGTTTAGGAGTTTGGGGGCTGTAGGGTGTTAAGGAGCTTAGGTTTTATTGCTTTAGGTGCTGTGGGCACAAGAGAGGGGATTGAAACCCTTGTGTCACTGGGGTCCGGGCCTTCCAGGGGTGCGGATTTAGGCGTGTTGTGTTATCTGCTCTGAATAAGCTTCCTGGTCTTTGAAGTTAGGTTTAGGGGGTGAAGAGAGTGGCGTGTCCGACCGTGAGAGTCACAGCTTCTCCTGGAATCAGTCATGAACCACTTACAGTACCTGCTGATGAACTCATGTAGACCGAAATCTCACCATAAGAACAAGGTTGCCAAAGCAAGTCTGGGATTAACCCTAAGCCTCAAGCCCCGAAACCCCTAAACCCCTAAACCCTAAACCCTACCTGAGGTTGGCGTGGGCTCAGGGCTCATGTGCCTCAGCTCCTCCTCGGAGCAATGAGGCTGCGGATGGAGGTAATGGTGCTCTGCTACTTTTCAATAGGGTTTAGGTTTAGGGTTTGAGGTTTGGGGTTTAGGGTATTTTAAGGTTATGACTTTCACGATTTGTATACCCTAAATACTCAGGAACTGTGGATTCGGATGTTTTGCGCAAGTAAACACAGTTCCGGCTCCTGAAAACCCTTCTCGACCCCTGAATAAAACTCCAATCCAAATAAAAGCCCGCTATGAACCACCCATACAATTCTCTATAACCCCCCCCCACCCCCACAAAAGCTCAAAACTCCAAACGCTCGAATCCCCTACGAAACCCTTGAGGTTACTGTAAGGATTGATGCGAATGTGGTCGTAGAAAGTCGGGGCACGTGCTCTGGTTTCCGGACAGATCGCTGAGGCTTGATGGTTTCCGGGCACCCAGAGAGCCCAATACCCCTTAATTAAGGAGTATACCGTGAGTATACCTTAAATCATCATATTAAGGCCCCTAGAATTTAAGGTATATTCCTTATTTAAGGGGTATTGGGCTCGCTGGGGCCATGGGTGTTTACGACTGCCAGGTTTGGCGCTTTCGGGCTCAAGGCGTTTAGGGCTATGCCCGGCTTGAGGATTGCAGGATTGTTGTTTTTTTTTGCTGCTTGCGAGCTTTTGGGATTTTCGGTTTAGGGTTTCAGGGTCTAGCTCGGATTTAATGCAACCTTCATACTCTTCGGGGAATGCATAGAACCTTCGGGGCCACGGCGTTGGATAATGAAGGAGAGCTGTATGCAATGACTGTTATATGGATAACCGATATGCTAACTGTAAGCCCAAAAATCAAGCACTGTCCGAAGGTTTAGAGGTCAAGCGGGCGACGGAAACAACACCTGTGCCACGTTTTGCCGAACACGAACCCAAGGTGAAGGCAAACCAACAGGCTTCTAACAATCAACCTCTCGTCTTGCGGAATACGCAAAGATCGGAAGCAAGCTCAGAAACTGCATAATTCCGAACCTTGTCTTCTCCGGCACTACCCCTGCCCTTTTTCCGCCGGGACATCGACAAGAATGCATCACATACTACGGCTAAAACCTCCAAACAAGCATGTCTGGAGGCTTTGGAGCAGATAGGCTGCGTCGTACTACTTACCACCGAAGCCCGGCACTCCTTTCACGGTGCTGTCAGTCACGCCTTTCTCCTGGGGAGGGTCAGCGAAGGATTGAAGTTCAGATAGACGTCGCCGTGCACGCACACACAGAAGCATCATGATGCCAGTGAAGATGGTGATGGGGAGAAGAAGGCTGCGGAGGAGGAGCAGAAGGATGAGGAGGTGGTGGGGGAACACATCATATTCTGATGCTGTTAGTTCCGTGTGCTGTCGCTATCGTGGAACATGCGGACGCGGATGTCACTGTCGATGATGCCCCGATCTGCTTCCTCTGCTTCTGTGCCTCTTGCAATCAATGAGATTTCGTGCATCCACCAGCACCATCGTGATTTCTTTGCAGGAGCACTACGTAATTTGCACCTTTGCTTCAGGAATGTACTGCAACTGTGCAAGTTGTATCCTCCAGATGCTCACGGTCTTTCAGTAACCACCCAGACATTTTCTCCAAACATGACTGGAATCTACATAATTAACCGCCAAGAAAACCCCAACCAAGCCGACTTTAGAATAACACTATTTCCTTTTTTCTGTTACTGGCAGTTAGTGAAATCAATCATGATCTTCGGGTATGCCCACAACGTCACGATCCGTGCACCAGTCAAGACAGGACTTTTGAACGCCAGCAGTGGCAAGGAGAGGTGCAAAGCTTGCCCTTGCTTTGAAGCTTTGAACACATCGACTCCATCATTGAAGAAAGAAGACCTTTAACCTAAACCCCTAAACCCTAAACCCCTAAATTAACACCAGGATAGGGGAAAGCTTGGCAAAAACAAGGGCTTTGCCGGGCTTCGCCGTCAGTTTTGGACAGCAAGCGCAAAGATTGGCGGCGATGTACTATCTAGTACAGGCGTCTCCTTTGATTGAGGCTCTAGAACCTTAAACATTAAGAGTTGGCAGTTTAGAGCGTGCAGGGCTGAAACTACTCTTCACCTCTATGTGGGGGGTTTCCGAAAACAAGGGACCCTAATATAGTACCCTTAATAGTAGGATCCTTATTATAAGGACCCCCAAAATAAGGTACCTTAACTTTTGGAAAGTCCCATGTTCTTCCGAAGGAGTCTCTTGGAAAGGAGACCCCTGACCTAGCAAAGTTGGGTCTAAGCATGGTCTGCCAGCTCGGTGACGGAATACTTGGCACATCCGGATGGAGGAGGGGCGGGGATGTCCTTAAAACTGCGGCATCGATCCCTTGGTCTTATAATTGGAGAGGGTTGTGTGTGTTTAGAGGCCACTTTTTGCAACACTCCCTTATATCTTAATTATGCTATCAGGCCTAGATCAGCATTCTTAGATAAGCTGCTCATGTGATCCTGAAACGGTGCCTCTGCGGATGGCAGACCTGCTCCGCTTCTGCCAGAGTCCTTACCCTAAGGGTCCAAGTACCAAATAACCACAAATTTTAAACCCTAAACCCTAAATAATGCAATGCCCCAAGTACGAACCCCACGTCAGCTCTAGCTTAAGCCCTGTGCAAAACCCCAAATTCCAGAAGCCCAAAGCCCCCAAAGGTCTTAATCGCAGGTACCTACTCACGTGGTCCTTGGTACCCTCAGGGTTTGAAGCTTGTGAGGACTCGAGCGAATTCCACGCTGAATTATTGGAGGATCATGGGACTTAGTAGGTAAGATTATAAATATAAGTTCTAAGTATGTAGTTGCCTTCTTTGTAAGGCTAGCTACCAAGCCCCGTGATCCTCCAAGTACGGACGGGGCTGATAAACCCACAAGGAATCTCCCAAGGGTGTCGCGACTGCTTTACTTGTCACTCACCCCCAGGTGCCTCCAATAGCCTGTCTTGTTTGGAACGGTTTAGGGTTTAGGGTTTAGGGGTTACTGACCCAAGAAGAAATATACAACCTTTCCGAGGCTCATGCACTTTAGGAAGGACTCTCAGCTTCAAGGAGATCTACTAACCGAGTGCGACACCCGTTTCAGAGGGGTTGAAGCCCGGCGGGGGCTCTCCGATGTTCAAGTTGGGATTTGCTGCAAAGGGGTTCGGCGCAGCGGTCCAGTTGATCACCTGAGCTGCTGCGGCTTTAGAGATTGAGATGAAGACGCCGTGACTTGTGGGTATGGTGAATCGAACTTCGGTTCAGACTCAACCGAAACCGAAAAACCCACACTCTACCTGCAATCTCCACTAACCAAGAACCGCCCTCAACGGGCACAAACTTGAAACCCAAAGTTCCTCGCCCTACCTGTAGTCTCCATTGTAGTTCCTTTTTTCTTGGCTTAACCAGTTCTATATTAAGGATCCTAAAAGGTAATCCCCAAAAGGAACTACAATGGAGACTATAGGTAAACCCTAAACCCCTAAGCCCAGGGCTCCTCAACTCAAAGGTATCGCCCTAAACCCTAGACCCCCGTAGATCCTAAACCCTAAACCCTAAATGCTAAAACCCTAAACCCTAAACCCTTCATGACATCCTTGAAGTTTGGGAGCTTGCGCAGCCTCGGAGACTGCGTGGGAACCATGATGCAGATTTCTAGCTCTGTGCCCTAGACAAGCTATTCGCCTGAAACAATGCTGATGGAAACCAACAACACGAACCACACTTTTCGAGTTATTCTACTCTACTCTACCCCCCCTCCCCCCCGCCCCCCCCCAAACGAATACACAAGTTCTCATCATCCAAGCTTCTATATAGCCCGGAACCCAAACGAAACCTGTAATGCAATCTCCAGGTCCTTCAATGACGACGTTAGGGTTTAGGGTTTAGAGTTTAGGGTTTAGGGTTTAGGGTAAACAAACTGGGCACCCCTAATTATTGCGGAACCGCAAACGGGCTTCAGCGTTTGGGGTTTCCAGCTTGGGTTCCGAGTTGGCCTAGGGCTTTGCCCATAGGCCCCTAAGTAGTTGCTTTTTGTGGTGCATACTTAGAATCCTATAAGGCAATCCCAAAAAGGAACTACTTAGGGGCCTATGGGTGGTTGCAACGACCTGAGGCGCGACAGAAAGACATCAGACATCTTTGTGAAGGGCTTGTACGGACGATCCACGGATTTTGAAGTGCAGTCTACTTGAGCGCCCGTGTGGTCTTTAAGCGTGGATAGGTGGCCCTCGTAAAAGCCTGCAAACCCTTTTGGTGAATCCTTACAGGCACCTTCTGAACTCACTTTCGCCCCTAAACCCTAAACCCGAAGCCCTAAGATACAAAGAAGGGCCCAGTCGCGTGAGCATTTCCACCGGGAAGTTCGGCCCCCAGATACCGATCGGCAGTACCTGGCTCCCAAGAGAGTCGTCTCGCCGAAGGTTGCTTAGAAGAGCTCCAATAAAAAGCTGCACAGAAAGTGCTAAACCCTATAGACTTTAAGATGCCTCGACAAGGGCTCTTATAACTGTTACTACATGAAGTTCAAGACATCTTGCTACAATGGGCTTCTGAAAAAGGTGTCTATACCAGTGTCCGGATAACGAGTCGCGGTAGGCTTTCTGCGCAAGATTAAGGTCTTGGGGTTGCGGGCTTTACGGCTAAGGGTTTAGGGTGTTTGGCTATAGAGGTTGGGGATTTTAGTTCTTAAGGCTTAGATTTACGTAGAGGTGTGGTTGAGGGGCCAGTTAGGGTATAGGACCTGCCTGTGAGCTCCATCGCTTAAATTAGGAAGCCCGTTTAAGGGTCCTCAAAAGCTCTGTAACTTAGTTTCGGCACAAACGGCCCCACGCGTCTCAACAAAAATCTGGACTATACAACTATGCGCCAGTCGATATGATACCCTAAACCCTAACCCCCACGAATATTCAACCTAAGCTCGTGAGTCCCCGCATAAACTCATAAACCAAGGAACAGCATAGTACTCCATACATTCCCCCAGTATAGTTAGAGTACAGAACCGCCCCTGCAAAGAAGCTGGAGTCCCCCTAAACCCGTAAGCCCTGAACCCTGACTGTGGAAGCCGGAATGGTCAGAGCGGGGCTTCGGGGTTTGGGGATCTGTCTAGTTTAGCGTTTAGGGTTCAGGTTTTAGGGTTTAGGGTATACATACATGTATATGGCGACCTTCAGGCCCCTACTACACCTACTTAGAGATCTATGCCAGCTGAATCGAGTCACAATTTGAGTGCATAGGTTGTGCACGAGAGCCTCATGGTTCCCTAAAGCCTAAACCGAGTTTAGAGCTTGAAGATCTCGCGGTTTATTTGTATTAGGGTTTAGGGTGTAGGGATAGGGTGGGCCTGGTCCAAATTCCGAAAGGCGCTGGCATACTCGGATGCTGTTGTCTTCGCCCTCAACCTGTATCGTGACGGGCATAATGCAGGGGCCTTAATAAGTAGAATAGGGTTTTGGGGTGTACTATNNAGAATAGTATAGGTAATTAGTAAGGCACCTAAAGTAAACTCCAGGACGTCTAGGATTCAGAAGCATTCCTTCTGCATGGTCTTGGCGACTCGAACAGAACCCTACCAGGGGAGCATGAGGCGCCAAACTCAGAACCTACCTTGACTCGCCACAGCCTGGTTTTAGTAAGGACTGTAAACTCCGATGTTAGGGCATACAGGCCTAAGTAGGTTATGCTAGTTTGACCCTAAACCCTAAACCC